TCTTTCATGCACTGGTGCGTGAAATTTTTAACTATTTTCCAGTCTTTGAACTATTTTTGCATAGACTAAAATACAAAGCAGTGAAAATCATTAATAGGCAATTGTTCGATGGGCTGAGTTGCGCAAAACGTATGGTCGCACCGGCTAGTCTGGTGCGCGTCGCTATTTATTTTTCCCCCCTCATGATTAACGACTGATTTTTCTTTCATAATTGATGACTCATGATTTTCTTCTGTTGATTGAAAATTTGACTTTCTCCAGCTACCGGGTAACTTTCTGTCAGCCAAGTGCGGACTGAACCGAATGGAGAAAGCTCCCCTTACCTCATAGCTTCCAGATTTGATGGGTTTGTTGTTAGTGCCTTAATTTTTGGGGACCTTATCACTTTTCTTTTAAAAAGTTCTGCTCCTTCTCTTGCTGTTGTGCACTGGAGTTTTTTGCTTACAGATTTCTTGATACAGTACATTCTTTATGATTTCTTTTCCTTTTTCTATAATAAATCATTGAACCTTCAGTCATTTTACTGAAATGATATTACTTCCAGGCCGAATCAGCACAAGCTGGATGTGCAACAGGGCGATGTTATAAAAATACAGTGGCCGTTTTTCGATGTTTGTGTTGCTAATTTACCATATCAGATTTCCTCGCCTTTTGTATTTAGGTTACTGCTGCAGCGTCCATTGCCAAGGTTTCTTCAACAGTTTCTTGCTTTTCCGAAAATTGTAGTGATTTGTGAAGTATAAAGGCGACTGAAGGTTGACTTTACTTAGCCTATCAGATGGCTTTTTGCTCTGTTATGGATGAAGCCTTCTTTTGCAAGTAATTATGAATTGGGAGAGAGTCGAACCTCTGCTCTTCACGTTTGGAACGAGGTCTTCCCACAGGCACTACACAGCTTATTTTATGGCTCTTTTTTGTCTGCTGCTAAGTGAACTTTCTGGCGGATAGTTGTTCACTAAGTGTTGCCAATCAAGTTAAATTCAAGTGTCCTGCCTCTCACGGAATGAAATATGCAAGAATTCTGATTTTTTGAAAAGCGCCTGCCTTATTTGAGTGATGCCTTAAAATATCCTTGCATATTTGGTCGAAACAGCTGGTATAAATTGAACGCAATCATCCTAAAGTAGCTAGGCCATCGTTCTGCCCAGGGTCTAGTCGTTTCTCACTAACAGTAATGGTCCCGCACTAATAAATTTTGTAGCTTGGGCGATAAGAGAATTGTGAGGAATACCTGAAATAGGATCTTTCTGTTTGTTTTTTAGCTGTGCAGTGATATTACGCAAAATTTAGGTATGCAGTGTTAATGTTCCAGAAGGAATTTGCCGATCGATTGCTT